CTCTATTATTATTTAAACCAAATAAGTATTTTATTGCTAAATATTTAGCTTTATTTTAAGTTTTATGAAGACCAATTATTGCTTAAGAATACGTCACAGATGTGTCTTATCTATCACAAATTTGAGTTCATAGTAGAACAGGGCCTAAAATATATCTAATTTCAGGGGACACTTATTAATTTAACTGTTGACTTTGGACTTGACAGATTTTTATAGCAAAAAAAAACCTGTGTTGGTTGTAACTCCCAAAATGTAACTCCTTCTTTTATGTACCACTTATTACCTTACAGTTTACACATTAATAATATTTATATGATATTGGTATTCAAAGTACATAAAATAAATACAAGTCTAAGTTAAAAATATTTTACTATAGTATTATGAAACAATGAAACATTGATAATGATTCTCAATTTATTTGAAATGAAGTTATAATAAAATTGTTATTATTACTTATTTCAGCAATTAAAACTAAAAACGTGTTATAAAACTTGGGACACAGTATTTTAGGCCCTGTAGTAGAACCAATTTTGTGTTAATAGCTTTTTTTAATATTAGAGTGGATAATAACTTGTGATTACTTATAATCAAATATTTCCTCAGATACGAATATTTTTAGGGTACTTATCCCGTAGGTTTTTATTGTTATTTTAATTTTAAAGCAACTTATGAGCATTTTAAAATTATTTAACTTTACATAATTATAAGTTCGAACTTTAATATCAATAAAAGTCTACCAACGCACGAAATAACATTCTTACTTTTAAGTTTGATAATAGGTAAATCCACTCTAATATTAAACCACAACAACACAAAACTGGTTCTGCTGGACAAAAATTTGCAATATACGTTTGGATGACGGAAATTACATATACCATATCCGGGTGTTGCGTCTTAAATGTTTTACCAAATAACATGTAGGTACATTTTACGTACCTATTTCATGAAGTAAGAGTAAGATAATTCGATCTTGAACATGTTCCATGTTTAAAAATGTACTTATCATCCCTAGTATTTGTAATCTCAAAATGTATAACTTATTTAATTTTATATCTGTAATTCTCAGCCTTATTTATCAAAATTCCGAAGTTGCTGAAGGAATAAAAAATTGTAGTACAATAACCGTACTTATCTATGTAAATATTAACTATTCTATATTTCAGTAAAGTATTTTCAGTTTTCGTACGTATTTAATTGTTTACTCTAATCAATCAATAATTAAAAAAATACGTAATTTGTAGTCTATAATTATTGTTGATTTTTTTACATCGACTGTTGTCCCTCTTGATTACTATAAAGTAAACATATTATTTTTCATTCTTCCGTTTTATATTACTCTCCTACTCTCGCGTTCTTAATATGTATTTTTAGTTACCCTCACATCCAGACTCAAGAGTGTATATCGCATATAATATGTAATGTTAATTCATAATTAATTATTGAACGAAAGGTGAAATCAGATAGTCTGGTCGTACCTTGAAATTGGACACTCGACTATCGGACTACCTCACTTTTTTATTTACACCTTGTATTCCTGGATATTTTATTGTTTAATGTAACGAAGTTTTCTCTAACGAGTTGAAAATTTATAAAATTTATTTTAAATCGTCCATTCTTTCAATGCTTTCACTCATTGATGCACTGCGGTCTGCGGATCCACCTGAACTTAATATTTAATTGCACATGACAATTTTTACTTATTTTTGAGGTCAATTTGATTCTTATTTTTAAAGTTTTACATTAACGTAAGGTCAAATACGTACTGGGGAAGCATTATTTTGAAATGTAGACACTTTAGTGCGACTATTACCTAATTGACAATATTAGTCATATTATTCGGATTGGCGCAGGAAGAGGTTTCTGATGTATATGACCTCCCCGACCTTGTTAAAATAACAATTGTGATAATCGTATAGTTAGATAGGTATGTTTCAAGACTCAAAAAGTACATTTTACATTTTTAAAGAAAAAAGAGATCTTATACACAATAAACGTATTGAACATATATATTATGTGAAGTGTATATTTTTATACCAACATTCCTTTCATTGATTTATCATAATATATATATTTTTTTTTTAGCGTAAAAAAGAGAAATTTTTCCATGAATTGTTTCTGTATAAAACTTGTTATGAAATTATACATTTTCCTTTACTAACATCATAACTTGTATTCTAGTTATAAGAATAAGTAAGAATTACTGTAGGTGGAACCCTGATAGAATAAAGTAGTCTGAAAGGGGCTAAATCCACCGATTGAATAATAACAATACGTTTATAATACATTTTCTAAGTATTTATTAGGTCGTATATACATACATTTGGACCAGAAATGCATTTTTAGATAATTCAAGCTAGTCCCCCTGGCCCCTGCCCTAACGGTAGAGGTTGTAGAGAATTTTTAGCAATTAGAACAAAATGCTAGTTAACTGTACATTACAATGATTGCACGAGTATACACGAGTATACATAACGTCATCAGTCATCACTAATACTAATCGATATTCGCTGCCTGTTTCTGTATTTTTTTTTTAGAAGTTAAAATTAAAAAAATGAATAGTTAAGAATTTTCGTAACTCCGTTTTATCGGACTTTTATGTAATTTTGTTGCAAATGAAGTTTTGATAAAATATGTTTAAAAATTATTTCTATCGATTACTAACTAAATGTTTAAACTTTGATTAGTATTATATCATTTATATAAATAATACTAACAATATATCAATGTACGTTCGAACCATTTATGTTTATTGTTTTTTGTTCTATTAAAATATGAAATAGGCCTTAACTTTATATCTGTTGGACATTATATAAGTTATAAAAAAATATTCACGTGATTTAATCGTGTACGGCGTAGAAAATATTAATACAATTCTTTTAACTAATAATAAGTAATCAACGCGTTTTGTGATACCGTTAATTATGGTTGTATATTATATAAATCAATAAATTATTATTGTAACCTTGAGTTTAGATTTAAATAATGTTTGTATTCTAATTTATTTGCACATAAGTATTTTGAGGGAAAGTTACAAAATAATTAACTATACATCCATACTGAGAAATCGAACCGTTTCTATTTCTTAATTAACTGTAGTTACTATTTACCTATTAAACAATGATTCGCAGCGGGTATAATAATAAAATATACTTTCGCCCTAAATGAGGTTTGAATAGGTAGTTAATAATTATGTTTATATATAGTTTATACAAATTTTAATAGGTAATTGACATTTAATATTTAGCATGTATGGGGTATTGCGTTTAGTTTCTATTTTTATATCATATTAATATGTATTGAATTGTATCAATGTAAAAATAATATTTGAAATTATTACCGACGCAAAATAATATGGTTTTCATGTTTATAGAACAATATAATATTTCGATCGGATATATAACACTACTTATTTACTAGTTACTAATTACTTATCAGTTATCCACGCAATATGACGTATTATATTTCATATTTTCCTCTTGGTTTTTAAGTCTACAAACTATCATAACAATGTTTATAATTTACGTAGGCACTGTTTACATGTTGGTATATTTATGACGTATCTGAGCATAAAAATACTACCCGATATATTTAATCTACATTCTACAATCTAAATCTTAATTTGTTACGTATTGACAACGATTTATCACAGTATATAATACCCGCAATAATTATGAATAATACAATATGTAATATAAACAGCACATTCCTCATACAGACTTATGAAGAATGTGCAGTTTTCGTATTGCAAATATCCCTTATAAATAACCTTGACTCAATATTGGATATGTACATAATAGACCGTATCTCCATGATACTGACTTAAAAAAATTAAAACCTAATTAGTCGGTATTTATTTTGCCATTTACTATTTTTTTTTTCTTGCTTATGATATATTGCATTTAACATACGATGATGAGTATTTATACATTATTATTGTGCAACTGAAGTTTATGTGAATAATGATGACGTCAGTATTTTGTTGAAAAATATTGCTTTTTTATGTACCACCTGACAAAAAATAATAGGTATTATTATAGAGTGGTGTTTGAAGTATATTATGCGTATGAATAATAATATTAAAAATTATTTACATATTTTGTTGCACTTGTGAGATACTTGATTAAATTTAAATTATAAATTTAAATTTTTTCCAATAGCTAATAAAACAACATTATTCGTACAACTCCACGTACAAACAAAAATAATACCTTTAAATTTTATATAAGGTTAATTCACTATAATTTTAAATTCTTCTACTGAACAAAAATGTCCTATGTGTACATACCTTGATTAGAGTATTAGACGGATACATCCTCTTTAATTTTTAAGCAAGATACTTGTCCAACTTTTTTATATGTTCATATGTTTTCCATACAATAATTTTATTTACCTAAATCAAACACTTAATTATAAATTACAGTTGAACGTGGTTAGCTCAAACTTCAAAATCGTCAATACCTCGAACTTTTTCCCCGATCCCGAGAATTTCTTTTAATTTTGCATTATCCTTTGATAACTTAAACTTTCTGGCCGATCCTTTCAATTTCGAGTTAACCACGTTCAACTGTACTAATTACCATTGTCGTGTGTTAACAGATTCAGTAAATTATGGATTCACTTAAAATTAATTGTGATGTATTATAATTATTAAATAATTTCATCAAAATAATTTTACGACTATTTTATTATTCACTTTTGTATGCATTGTTATTTACATACAATGTACACATTAGGCATTGTCGGTGAGAAAAAATTATATTAACTAAAGCGCATACATTGATTTAAAAATGCTATGCCATAATGTAATATTATGTATTTCATAAAAATTATTCAAAACACATGTTAAATTAAATGAAATATATGTACTTTGAAATTGAATACTTAATTAGATTATCTTAGTCAATAATTAAGTGTTAATAATTCTAAAAAAAATATCGCTTGACTGAATTGTTTAGTTTAATATTATTTTATTTGTGTTACAATAGGAATAACATTTAAAAATGGCCCCAAATATGACCAAGCGTCCAGTTGGCGCTCCTAGTGTTTTATTCAATGAAGATGATACGGAACCATCTGTCGTTGATGAAGGAAATCAGATAGCTGAAGGAGAAACTGTTGAGAATAACAAATACAAACCATACAGATATCAAAGACAAATTGTCTGGCGAAATGTTGCTTTATTTGTTTACCTACATATAGCCGCACTGTATGGTGCATACCTAATGTTTGCTTCTGCAAAAGTAGCAACATCAATTTGGGGTAATTTAAAATGGTTTATATTAACAAATTAATCATTATGTGTATTGTTTTTTAATTAAATTTTTGTATTTTAGCAATTTTACTGTATCAAATGTCGGGATTGGGAATTACTGCTGGAGCCCATAGGCTATGGGCACATCGATCATACAAAGGAAAACTTCCTTTACGTATTATTTTAATGATCTTCAATACAATTGCCTTTGAGGTAAGTTAAAAAGTGCTTAATATTATTGTATTAGGTCGTAAGGTAAAAACCAACAAAAGAATTCAATATTCAAATAAACTTAAGTGTGAAGGTAGATACTAGATACAAAATATTATTTGTCAATATTCATTGATTTAATACATTTTAAATGTTGTTTTAACAAAGGTATATTGTAGAAATATACAAGAAAACCATTATTTATATTGTATATATAAAGGAATTACCACATATTTATTTCAAACTTGGATTATATCAAATGATTATCGTTCAAGTATATAATTACTAAATAGTAATGTAACTTTATACTAATTATCTCTTTTGATATTATCTTATATTGATAATAATTTATAATAATTATCAGTACAGGTACCTACTTAAGTATTACAAAACCTTCATATTACTTATACACAAACAATCCAATTACTATTATTTTAAAACTAGATATACTTTGTAATTAATATACAAATTAAAAAATTAAAGTTGTAGAATGTATAGTTTTAATAGTACATGTTGTGGACACAAATTAATTATTTTTTTACAAATCATTCCATTATTAATAATATTTATTAATTTTGTAATATAAACCTATTTTATTTTTAGATACTTAAAATCTTCATTATGTTGATAACCTATTTTAAGATTTTTAAACAATAACCCTAATCATTATTTGTATATAATAATATTTTTGAACATTTGAATGTATTTTATATCCTATAGTTTGTTAGATTAAGTTTCTAGTTTAATAAAGTAGAGTGATAGGTACAATATTTAGAAGTTATGTTAACTTACCCCTAAGGCCCTAACCTATAATACATTATAATACATTTATAATTTATGAATAATAATTGTTAACAATTTAATTTGAATACATCTATTTTGATTACAGAACCATATTTATGAGTGGGCCCGAGATCATCGTATGCACCACAAGTATAGTGAAACAAACGCTGATCCTCATAATGCCAAACGTGGATTTTTCTTTTCTCATGTTGGATGGTTGTTGTGTCGTAAACATCCAGAAATAAAAGAAAAAGGACGTGGTATTGATATGAGTGATTTAGAGCGGGATCCAGTTGTAGTATTCCAGATGACGTAAATATAATCCCATTTCTAAAATGTTCAGAAATATTAATTTAAAAACATTGTTTAGGTATTATTTGTTGTTGATGCCGGTTTTATGTTTCTTGATTCCTACGTGCGTGCCTGTGTTTTTGTGGGGTGAAACGTGGTCCAATTCATGGTTTGTGGCTACCATGTTCCGATATACTTTCACTTTAAATATGACATGGCTTGTAAATAGTGCTGCTCATATGTGGGGTGATAGACCTTATGACAAGTAAGTGTAAAATATAATAATTTATCTTCACGTAATTATAATTCTGTCAAGTTGGTTTATGAGTAAATTGGTAGTGATGTGATTAAATTATAACATTCAAATTATCTTACTGTATATAATACAGTACTACTATTTATTATCTGTTAAAACCTATATAATTTAATCGTAGAAGAATATTAAATGGATGTCAGCACACTGTTTATTTTCTCTCTCTCTGACCAAACACATCCGTGCAAAATAATTTTTTATGTATAAGTTATTTTGGAGTAAATCTACCTATGGGGCTATGAAAAGTATTATCGACAATAATATTTTTGTCGGTATGACATCAATTTATTTAAATATTATGTATCTCAAGACAATTTAATATCCATTGAAATATACTCAATAATTTTTGTAATGGGTAATTAGATTACTCAAAAATCATAAAAAAAAAAAAAATACGTGACTGATATATCCATGTTGTGCATGGGTCTGAGAAAGAAAACAAATTCTGCGCTGACGTTCTCTTAGAGGTCTAAATTTATTATTATAATATTATATTTTAGAGAACAAATAGGTCATGTATATATTTTATATATTAATATTATAATAATTGAGATTTCGTATGAGAAGCAAAGTCTTATTGTATTATTAATTTCCCATCAGTAAGTCTAAATATAATATTTTCCATTGTGGCCTAAGTAATTTTTGTTTTATAAGTTCATAGTTTTACCTTCTTTGCTATGTACCAGAGTTTTTTAACCCACGGTCAAGCCTATTAGTCAAAACGACTTTTGATCTCCATGATAGGTTAGGTTTGTCATATACAAGGTGATTATTTTATTGAAGAACACTCATTATTTCAAAATCTATTAATGTTTCACTTGACAATTTACAAATTAACATTTTTGAAAAAGATAATTATGTTTGTTCCTTTTTAGAGTTGACATCAATTTTTAATTTAATATTCCAAAGCAGAAGATTATTTGTAGTATTTTAATATTTAAAATCAAATTTCAAATGCTAAGTGGATTGGTTATAGACTTATAGTATTTCTAGTTATTTCAAGTTTAGATAACAGGAGTTGTGGACCACCATTTTGAATCTGTGTCACTGCTCATAAAACTGAAAATACTTATAAATGATAAACTACTTGTCCAAAATTCAATTTTTATAAACCCCTCAAAAAATATTCTGCTTTGAAATAAGTTGCTACAAATGGATACTGTCATTAAAAATAGTGAAAATAGTAACATTTTTATTTTGTAATGACTTAAATTTAATAAACCCATGCATTTGTTGTCTCCATCTTACACATGTACGACATAGCAAATTTCCGTTCACTTGTTTCAATAGTGTGTTTTTAATTTTAATATTAGAGTGAATTGACCTATTATCATACTTTTAGGTAAGAATATTATCTGTGCTTAAGCTTTGGCAATTTTTCAATATTTTCATTTTTAAGTAAGATAATACGTCCATGTGAAATATCAAAAATTAAAAAGCTCATATCTAGCTTGAAAATTAAAATACCGAATAAAAGCCAAAGCTTAAGCATAGATAATGTTATCATCCAAAAATTTTAGAACAGGTCAATTTACTCTAATATAAAAAATAACAGCGTACTATTGAAACTAGTAACCGAAAATTTGCTATGTCGTAAATGTGGAAGACGGGGACAATAAATGCATGGGTGGCGTCCTTTTAGTAGTTTTTGAAATAATGTATATTTTTCAATTAATTAATCATACCCAGTATAGCTAAGTTTTTATTATGAGAAAACTAATGAAATTCAAAAATAATAAATCATTTTTTCACCTTTGTAAAATACTAATATATTTCTGATTCTGACTGTTTTAAAAATGGTTAGATACCTATCACAGCATATATCACAGTATATATGAAATAAAAATTGTAATTTGTTATTAGAATTTTCTAATAATAAAATTCATTTTAGTGTAATCTACATTTTATTTTTATTTGCAGATTTATCAATCCTTCTGAAAATATTGGTGTAGCATTAGGTGCTCTCGGTGAAGGATGGCACAACTATCATCATGTATTTCCATGGGACTACAAAGCAGCAGAATTGGGAAATTATCGTGCTAATTTAACTACTGGGTTTATAGATTTCTTTTCTAAAGTAGGCTGGGCGTATGACTTGAAAACAGTGTCTACGGACATGATACGCAAACGTGTTGATCGAACTGGTGATGGAACTCATAGTAGCATTTGGGGATGGGAAGACAAGGAATTGTCACCAGAAGACCGTGAAGAAGCCGTTATCATCAACAGATCCCTTGTTGGGTAAAAAATAGTTTTTAGAAAATGTTTATACGAAGAAAATAAACCAATTACAGTTTGTTTTTCTTAATAAAAAAAAGAGAAATTAATAGAATGCTGAAGTGTTAATGCGAAGGGGGGAAAACATAATTGACAGATCCATACACAAACTTTTAACAATGTAAATAAAGATATATTTTAAAAAAAAAAGTTTAAACAAAAAGTTAAAACCGTTTTCCTTAGTTATTATATTTTATGTAATAAAATATAAATATGTATAGTATTTTATAATTTTAATTAATTTATTAATTTTTTTTATATACATTTTTGGAGCCATAATTTTCAAAAAAATATATTTATGATAAAGTCCGCTTTTTTTTCTTTTTAGTTCCTAATCATCAACAAGTTTGTTTAAAAATACTAATGTACTATTCTACAACTTTAAAATAGGTACATGTCATATTAATTATCAGTTTACCACTAGGTTGGTTAACCTGCTTACTGGAACAATAATAATATTGTATTTTATTTTATCTTGTGGTTAATTGTGAATTATTTTGTTTTACATAATAAGAACATTAGAACATTTTTAAAACATGAATTAAAAATATTTAACAAGTAAAACTAACTTGGCTCCATTTCATACCATATTTGATGTTTTTCAAGTAAATATATTATATATATATTCATCTTTTTTAATACAATTTCTTTAACTATACATTTTTTTTTTACAATTATTATCTAACAATTCAAATGCATTGATAATTAATATCCTATTGGTAACCTTTAAAATTATGAGTTAAAGCCCTCCGACCTTGGTAGATAAACATTTTGTGTACTACTACAATATAAAAAATCATATTTATATAATATATTATATATATTTATAAATATATACATATTGTAGTAATTTAACATTATATATTATTTAATAAACAATAAACCCTTGGTTATGAAATGTCTAATTTATTTATTTTATGTTAGACTTTATATAAAGAAAATGTATACATTTTTTGTAAGACACTTTTTCTGCCAGTTATTATTCATTATAATATATTTAATTATAATAGTTACAGTTCAGAAACACGAAGTCATGAATACATGATATTATAGTTTATACTCGGTTGAGAATCAGTCATTTGGCACAGAATTTATAAGGAGTAAGCATGGTGCCATAGCTTGCAACAAAACATTGAAATGTCTACATCTAAAAAGGGAGTCAGAAATGTTTTTATGTGGTTAAACAATGATAGCAACATTCTAATTGTTGATTTTATTTGATTTATTTTATTACATGAGTCAAGTTAAGTTAAAAACGTAGATGATAAAAAAGTCAAGTTTTTTTTGGATAAGAAAGACGTGCTGTCTCTTCTTTCTTGCCCTGACAATGTGGAAATGTATATTATGTTAACTGTACAATATTTTATTGATTTGAACTTAATAAGCAACCAATGCAAATTTAAATTATCCATAAACTATGGTTGTGTATTGCAGGGCTTCTCTATTAAACTTTGACATTGTCATGACCTTTTATTGTACTGAGAATGAAATTAATCATTATTACACTATGATACTAAATATTTATTTACATCATAGATTAAGGTTGTGTCTTTAAGAATTGTGTGTATGGTGTATCCACAGAATATATGAAATATAGTATCTATTAGACCATGCTGTGAAAAATGAAAAACAAATGTGTCTACTATCCGACACAAAACATAAGTTATATTCCAAGCTTTGTTAGAAATATAATTTTGAACAAATAAAAATACTTACTTATTCGTGCGTTATAATATGAACTATTAACTATAGTTTGTCTTAAAAGAAATTAACCTACAGCTGCTTAAATAACATACTTTTGTCTAACTAATGGAATTCTAGTATAATAATAATTATCAATGTCAATATATTTATTTATAGGCTAAAACTAACCAATAGAATCATGAGCTTATAAAACAGCTACTACAACGTTAGTATTGTAGTTAGTTGTATAAAATGTTATATAAAATAATCGAATTTATTATTTATACTAAAACAATATAGGTACCTGATACCTACATTTATAATAATAATTGATATCAAAGTCTAAAGTGCGATATTGATACCTATAAGCTATATTTTGTTAATACTGTGGTAAATCATTTAATTTAAATACTTTATATAAATATTGAGTAGTTGTGCATCACATTGTATTTTTCCTTTTACCAAATTATAATATATTGTATTGGACTTTATTCCCATAGACTTTTTTCCTAGTACTTTGGTTGCTAGAAATTGAATTTTTAACTAGTGGTTGATTAAATATTTACAAGTAGGTATTTAAAATTATATAAGTTCTAACTATTGATTATAAATAGTCAATAGATACTAATGTATTATCATTGAGTATACACTATAGATAGACTAATTAGTCAACTACCTATACTCGTTCGTAATTCAATTTTCATTTTTGCTTTGTGGTATAAAATTAAAAAAAATAGCACCATTCTTAAAGATAAGAAATTTAATTCTAAAGAAAGAATAAAATGGTTTTCAAAAATGTATTATCATTTGTTATGCTTTCAAATTAAGTAAAACCAAGCCCGGGCATAAACGCGTTAAAGAGTCAAGTTAACTTTAACTTTTTAACTTACATTTTTTTAATTGATATAAACTCAATAAATAACTAGTTACTTTGATCAAATTCAAGTTAAGTTAATTTATAAATAATTAAATCATAAATATAAATATAATAAAAATAATTATTGATACTACTTTACCATTTACTAGAATAGGGAATTACAAATAAAGTTAAATTAAATTCTTGTTCCATTAACCAGAATCCTTCAAGAAAAACAACTCAATTACATACATATTAGATATAGCAATAGCCAATTATATTATAACATAACAATTATATTACAATTATATATAGGTGTATTGTATACATAGGCCCAATTTCAACTTTTGACATACCTAGTGGGGGGGGGGGCTGAATATATTGAAGGCAAGCAGACAATGCAATATGGCATTTTAAAATTGTATGTCCTAGGTTTTTGGGGCCACTTAGCCCCCCCCCCAATTTGCACCTATGATCGTATATATAAAGATATACCATACCATACTGCGGCATACGGCCATAATGGCATATTGTAATAATAATAATTAATATGAAATTGTTTAATTTTATTGATAAAGTTACAAATCAAAAATGTACAATTCTCAAGAACATTATATTGTAAAATATTTTTGGCATAAATATAAGTTAAATTTTAATTAAAACTATTTGGTCGTGTATTGTGTATACTTATATTTCAAATGTTTATATTTATAAACAGTGAATATTCTCGGTAGAGGAAATAGTCATAGCCCACATGGGTTCAGTTTTCGTTCTCGGCTCTCTCAGCACGCAAGATTTTTACAATACCATGTTTCAGTTTTTATGTACCTATGATGTGATTATCAGTGTCCAGTGAAATACGTTTATTTTATATTTTTTGATTAATTCATTAAATTATAGAATTTTTTATTTTCTCAATACAGTCAGTCTACACTAACTGGAAACTTGACCTGTATAATATGTATAATACTTATCTGTATCAATAAATCAATAGATTGTATTTGTTTCGGAATTTTAAGGAACAAGTGTACTTTACCACCATCCCATGCAAATTTTTCGATTTTTTTTTTTTGAACTTATGTAGCTCATCGAGTTAAGACGATGGTGCAATCAGAATTTTTCGCTCTCACTTAGTTTCGAAGTTATGGCCTTCCAAAGTTTTCAATTTTACGTCTATACGCATGCGCGCAACACTACTCTTTAATGCCACGCGGAGGACTATTTTTGTTATTTTTTTGTACTTACGTATTCTAACCTGTTTAAAACGATAGTGCAATAATAATTTATCCCCCGATTTGCTATGCAACACATCCCAAAGTAGGTCACAGGGTTAAGAAAATTGCATTTTTGTTGCACCGAGCGGGGTCACTCGCTCGCTCGGACAATTAAAAATATTCCTCTCCTGGAAGTAGAAATACTCCTGAAATAGTCAATCTGGTTTAAATAAATTCTCGCATTATACCTATAGTAGGTACCTACCTACCTGATAATAATTAATTATAATAATCATTCAATTATAAATACGATTTTAGATTATATTATAATTTATATTATTAAAGAAACTATATTTTAATACACAATTAAAATGTCATTACGTCAAGTGCTGCGTTCTAGTGAAGTTGACCTCTCTTAGTCCCGTGTTTGTTCACTCGTTTATTTTTTATTTAGCAGTCTCACAAATAAGAAAAAGAAATCGCGAAAGACGTGACACGTATAGGCGTATAGCGTTGCGCTCATGCGTAAAAAAACGCAAAATTGCTTACTTCCAAGGGCCATAACTTCGAAACTAAGTGAGAGCGACAAATTCTGATTGCACCATCGTTCTTAACTCGATGAGTTACATAAGTTCCAAAAACGAAAATCGAAAAATATGCATGGGGTGGTAAAGTGCACTTTAGCCCATTTTAAATTTGGTATGCTTTTCGTACCTACTACATAGGTAATTCTATTAGAAAAGCTATTGGCTATTTCCTATGTTCAATAATATTCCTTTATGATTTTTATTATTACTGAGTATTTATATAGATACAAGATACATATCTATTATAAAAAAAAAAATTAAAAAAATATGGTCACTGGCAGGCCTTCACATTATATTTTTAGGCTTTTTTAAAAAAAATCACCATCATTATTATTCATTTTTTAAAAATATTATATACATAGGCATTAGACCTCAGGGCCCCATACATTGACTTTGTCCGGGGCCCCAAGAATCCTAATTGCGGCACTGATAATAATCTTACCTTTAGGTTTTATAAGAGGTTAATTTACTCTAATTTTTAAATTAACGGAACTACACGTGTTTTGCGCTGAGCATAAAATTTGCTATATGTGATGCACTTGTAAGACGGAGACAACACATGCGGGTATCACGTCCTCTTAAGTTAATAAGTTAATTGAAAACTGAGTTAAAAATAAATTAGGTGAAG